CTGTACATGATGATGACAAAACTGGGAACGGCTAGGAAGTATGAAATAAGAACATATGACTTCTCAAAATGGAGATGAAGACTGACTTACAGAAAGGAAGCAATAAGGAATGTGTAAAACTCCTCCCTTCTCCCACACTTACCCGACTACCTCAACAGCATCATTAAGATAGGGATCAACTATCATCTCCTTTGAAACGTTCCAATCTCCATCTGCAGCGATGATGCCAGTGTTCCTTAGACCCAGTCTGTCCAAAGATTGTCGAAGTACCTTAGTAACAGATAACACCACTTAAAGTACAGCCTTCATCAACCAGACAACACAAAAATTTAAGACTGAAAACAACTTAAGAACTGTAGGAGGAGTTGGTGGAAGCATTTGTCTTCAGACCAAGATGGATAAGAAAAGTTGTCACTTCTCAAAGGAGAGCCATAATGACAACTAAGACAAAGTTAATGATAAGTATTTTTAACACCGAAGGGTTATCTATGACATTAGATAGCCATTACACAAAAATGGGCTTCTCATTACTTGGATTACTTTTGACACCCTATGTACATACATGTACTCCACTCGGACACTCTCAACATACTGACTCCATCCATTGCATGCATGTAATTCATTACATATGAGTAATGGATTTATTATAAAGTCAGTCACGTTAAGCTGATCTAAAAATGATGACTGGCTGGACTGTGGAAGTGGACATACCTCCACAAGTGATCAGAAGTGAAAGTTAACCTGATCCAAAAAAAGTATATTGAGAAAACAGGGATTGAAGTTTTAAAATAGAAAAGACCTTGTAATCATGCAGTTCTCTACAAGAACATAAATCTTTGCCAAACATTTGTCCTTTTCAAGTGAAGAGCACCTAAGCATTCTTTTCACAAGCGATTTTATTGAACAAAAAAAAAATCCTTCATGTTGCAAGTGTCTGATGTTTAAGACTACCCACTACTTGGCTCTCACATATGTCTCACTAATTTTCAGGAACATAATCCATGGAATGCAAATTGCATATTCACAACAAAACTGAGGGCAGTCAACTTTGAATTCAAACATGCCAGCAGAAGAGAATTCCTATTCTGTCTTTCCAAGCTTCTCCTTACTATTTCACTGTCAAAGATGATAAACCTCTCACATCTGCCTGTGGAACTTGTTAGATAAAATATACCCAGGCAAAATATACCCAGCTCTAACAGTTAAGAATGAACAGGCTTACACAGGGCTGGTATTATACAAGGATGTTTTATCTGAACACTCAAAAAAAAAATTTTTTAAAAGTATTTTCAGCAGCTTCCACATACAGTTGCATCTGAAAAAGGACATCAGTCCACAGTCTAAAATCCTTTTTTGAATCTTGGATATAAAAGAATTATGTACTACGTGCTGTATATATATGCATGCATAAGAAAGATTTTTCCAACCATTTGAAGATCCGTAGGTATGAATCCTTAAATAATTTCTTGTAATAGCCCTGCAGCAATGTGAAGGAGAACAGGGAGCATTTCTATTTTGACGTGTAGTCAAATAAATACACAAAGCAAAGTCCAAGTGTTGGTGACAATGAAAGCCTAGATCTAAAGGACATAGAACTTATTAAGAAGAAGAAAAGTAGCAATGAAGTTCTGTTCAGCTGCTTGAAGCCTTTGAAGCATGAAGTTTACCAGAAGAAAAACTCATAATGGTAGAAATACTTAGAGTAAGGTCCTTGCAATTTAAAGCTTTCTAGCTAGCTAGACATTCGGAAAAACTGCCTAAGCATAGAGATAGTTCAGAAGAAAAAAATTACTAGAAAGGTTGCAGAACTTCCATGTTGAAAGATAAGTACCAAGGACACAGAACTGTAGACACTCAAAATGCACTCCATAATAACATATGCAGAATGGTTCCCCCACACCCAGTATTCATGTTTATATACAAATACTCCTTAAATTTTAAGGTTAGTTTAAGACGGCAGTATTTAAAAATATAATTGGAAGAATAGGATCTTCTTGAATAAGAATTTATAAGCAATAGAATCATCATTTCTTTTTTCATTTTTTCTACTTAGTAAGAAACATAACTAGCACCTTAGTGGATGAAGTAACTAAAATAACTCCTTACAAATAAAAATTTAGCAAGATAACTAAGAGTTTATCTATGTCACGTATTTGTCAGACATTACAGAAAATCTTTGGTGTACAACAGCTCACCTCAGTAAACAGACCTTTTTTGAAACAGCGGACTGCAAACAGAGCTATCATGCTGATTAGAGAATAGATGCCACATAACACTCCAGAGTGTAAGAGAATGAATGGTAAAACAGGTGTTAAATAAAAAGCCTTCTATCAATTAACATACAGCAGAGGGAAGGCTGGCACTTTTCAGCAGGTATTTGGGTGATTTTAAGATCAAATTTTAAACTAAACATTTAGCTCTAGAAGCCAAAAGCTTAGTCCCAATTCAACAGCATTTAAAAAGCTAACAAGTAGAATGCCGCACCTACACTCGACAGTTTGTTCTCCACATTCATTCTCCCCACATTAGGAAGCCAAAACAAACAGATGAGAGCCTCCAGATGATGTGACAAAGGACTGAGCAAAATAGAACATTTCTATTTCTTACAAGACATACAGAAAGCCAGAAAACCAGTTTTAAAAAAAGAGCCAATCAGTGATATAGGGAAATAAAATTAGTATTTTATCTATAGTAAGATCTGCCTTCTCTCTCTGATGGTTCTTTCTACAAAGGGTTCAGTCTCATAAGCATTCCAAGCAACATGTAGTCAGTGAAGAAATAAAACTTGCAGCTCAAAAAAAAAAAAAAATCTCACTATTTATCTTCCATCTTACTTGCATTGTTTTATTCCAGCCTGCAAACAAGTGTTTTCAGTTCTGTTTTGCTTCTATAACATACATATACTGAACAACTAGAGATTTCTACTTGAAGTCCACACCCACACACACTTTTCCCCCTCCTCCCCTACCAGTATAACTTACCTATGATTAGGATTATCCTTTAGGAGACTACTAGTATCCTTAGTGATTTCTCCATTAGCCTATACCTGACTAGTGAACCACTTCTCATTTTGAAAAAGAAAAGCCTGGAACCTACATTGCCTGATGCTAAATGTAACAGAAAATTTCTAGTTCCCAAGGGTTTTTTGTAATAAAGAGAGCACTCTATGAACTCGTTTCCTAGCTTTAAAAAAGTTAGGCTATGGTTTGTGCTGAACGCACACTGCAATAGGCTATTTTAAGAGGATTCTAAGCACACCCACTGAACAAGTTTAGACAGGGATTAAGTAGCTTCACTAGCAAAATCTGAAGCCTCTACACACCCACCAGAGTTTTGTTACTTAACATGCCCAAAGAAACAAGACACCTTGACATAGATGCCAAGATATCCTGCTGTGTCACACTTCAGTGTATTTGTGTTTTCTCTGGAAGGGATTTTGTAAGTCACTCAAAACCTCTAGTGCCAAACCTGTGTGTCTAAAAGGAACTAATGGCCTAGCAGCCTACAAAAGTGAGTGTCTAGAAAATACCTTTAATGAAATTAGTTGTGGAGCAAAGTATATGTAACAGAATTTGTAAGACATGATAAGACTTGGAAACTAAGTTACTGTGGTGGCAGTGGACCTGGTAAATCCGTTTAAAATACATGGTTGATTAACATATTTGTTAACAAGAAACCCATAAAGCCGGATATAAGGTATTCCTCTTTCTCTGTACAAGGTATATGACCAGCACAGAGCTTTCTGCCAGTGCTTCCTGCCCTTCCTCAGTCAAAGCACTGCACAAATCATAGGAAACAGCTATAAGTGTATTCATCTAATTCTACATTCTAGGAAATATAATTTTTAAAAGAAATGTTTTATAGGCGAGCATTCTCAGTTTTCAGGAGTAGGCAGAATTTTATATATTCCAGCCTCATGAAAGATACTTAAAGATACTTTTTTGCTCTTATTGCAATGTCAAGTTTAACTATTGTACGCCATTTCCTGTACCATTCTACTAAAACTAATCATTGAACAAAATAACTACAGAAGTTGCCAAGGACAAACGATATGACTAACCTCATCCAGTGTACACAAACTGTAAGAACTGAAACTTTCCTAATAGCCACTACTTGACTAATTGTAAGCAGATGGGATCCAATCCCTGCTGAGTTCTGAAAAAAAAAAAAATCAGCAGTTTTTCTACGCACTCAATTTAACTCTTATTTGCTCTTAAGAATAGGTAATGCTATTGCTTCTTAGCCTTGAAGCGGCAACAAGGAAATGAACAAAGCAGAAGCTTGTACTTAAGATTCCACTTCAACATAACAAAACAAACAGAAGTGAGTTTTCAAAGAAGGGCAGGGGGGCAGCAGAAGCAGGCAGCAGTGAGAGATATTAGAGATATCTCAAGGTTGGTTATGTGAAATACTGTGTTCCTCCAACTCTTTTAGGACAGAGGTACTGGATTTTGCACAGCTAAAAACACAGAGCCTTTATTACGTTTTCCATAAAATAAGAACCTGGAGTTTTATAGCAATAATCTAAGGATATTATATCCGCTAGAACTTTGCTACAGAATTTTAAGTAATTCTAGATCATGGACTTATAACTGTATCCAAGCCAGTACAAAGATGATGAATTTGTATGATTTCAGTAGCATCAACTGGTACTTCCATGAAAATGTAGAGGTCCTAAACATTTAGCGTACACTGACACACTTAAAGTTCAAAATAACAGTTTCAGACACACAATAAAAAAAAAGATCTAGAGATCTGATCCTGTTAGTATTCCATGCCTGCAACTAGAAGAAACAGAGTTCAGTAAGTGAAGTAGTTGCAGGATCAATGTCCCTTTTCCCAAGGGTTTTTTGTAATAAAGAGAGCACTCTATGAACTCATTTCCTAGCTTTAAAAAAGTTAGGCTATTTTCCTAGGCAAATTAAGAAACGCTAATTGTTTACATATGATAACAAAGACAAACATTTTACTTTATAGAGAAATAAGAAAAAAATACATACCTTAATATATTTGCTACTAAATGCCCTTTCATTCCATATCTATAAAGGAAAAGTAAAAAGCCATTTAGAAAAATCAGGATATGTCAATGCATAATGAAAGATTTTATTTATGTATATGCAAGATTATACAATCCATTAATGAACGCCATGGTTTCAGTTTGCTAGAGGAAAGTGCTCTGGCTGGTTTTGTTACCAGCTCTTCAGGGGAAAACTCTGTATGGAAGTTCAAAATAGTTGCTTGTTTATCTATCTCTAAGGTCTACTGACTGCCTTCTTGCTGAACTCTAGAGCTGCTTGAGCTCTACAATGGTAGCAGCGTTACACGTGACATTATTACCAATGGGTCTACAGTTTGTTATAAATCATTGAGAAACACATTGTGGCTTCAAGGTGCGCTCCTAATGAATGGGCCCTGTTACCATACACTGACATAGGATAGGTAGAATTAGTTACATATCGAACAATTGCCTACGGTTTCAGGGGGTTATTCAATGACACTTACAGTTCTTTCTAATTTACACAGGACTATATCCATATTTGGAACACAAGAGAGATCCAGCATAGTTTAAGTAAACAGACACAAAATTATCTCATCTCTGTTGCTCTGGATTTTCCATTT